CGCAACAGCCTGGGATTAAAAAAAAAATAAACATTTGAACTTTGTACATCGGTACAGAATGTTTGAGATGGACCTCAACCCTAGCAGGCTTCATTCAATGGCCAGAGTTACATATTTTCCTGCTATAAAATGGATCAGCAAACATCAAGGTGAAATCTTTATAGCTTAAACATGACTCTAATATGTCTAAATTAGGCTTCAAATTAGGCCTTGAAGGTGGATTGATGGTGGAGTTGAGGTTAATTATAATGAGTTGAGGATCCTAAAGCTCATCAGCTCACACAAGGAAGGTTTTGTATTCACTTGGCGGATATACTGGAGGTGTAAAATTTCTATCAAAGAATTAATTTAAACTGGTGGTCTTGCTTGATGAATTTCAAGGAGAAAAGAAAATTTCCAGCTGGTAACCACTCGCATAAAAAGCTAAATGCTGTCCCAGAAGTATCAGTGTTTTTGGGGGAAGGGCATTTGACTGACTTCAATACTGAAACCCATTTACGTCCCAACATAATGCACATCTTTAAGTGCCTCTGAATAGTCGTTCTCTGGAGGACCTTGTGAAACAACACTTTATTCAGTCCATTAAAGTAACATTGAGTAAGAAACGTGGTAAAAATATTGGGGGGGGGTTTTCTAGCCTAGGAAACACTGCTGCCGCCACAGCTTATTTAATGCAGGCAGCTCCTTCAGCTGTACATTTCTATTGCCCTTCTCTTCCTCTCTCAGAAAATTCCACTTAGCAAACGATTTTGGTGCAGCATGAGGACTGCAAGCCTATGGCAGGGGGATGGGAAGGGCTTGTGAATGGTTCCAGCTTAGACTTTTGTGACCTCTGAGCTTTAAAGCGGGGAGGAAATGAACCCTTCGTCCTTTAGTTCCCACCCCATCGGTCCATCTGACGGCCGTCACCAATGATTAGGAGTCCAGCGTGGAATTAACAGCCTATTAGCACAAGACGGATGACCAGTTTAGTAACCTCACTACCCGCACTCTATTTAAAGACATCCTACTCTGCCATTCTTCTTGTTCTTCTCCTTGTTGTTTAAGTTTCCTTCACTCACTTCAATGCACGTCCATCTTTTTTTTTTTTTTCGCCTATTTTTAACCTCCAATGCTTTATCAGCCTTTGCCACAGCACCTAGTCTTTCACTCTTAACCACTCATTTTTATCGCTGTGCTGCCATTCCTCTACATAGAAACACACTCAAAAGGAGTCTAACCACAACTTCTTTCCTGTCACTGGCCACTAAAGCATAATTGTACAGACACCTTACACCCAGTGAAACAGCCATTTCCCCCTTTCTTGAAGTGAAAACGCAGCACAACAGGTAATGCAGTTATCGTTCATGAAATAAAATCAGATAGTATTACAAGCTGCAGAGGAAAAGACAGCACTAGGGGATGAATTAAGCAGGAAGGATTGTTATATATAAAATATATTTATATGTATAACAAAGGTTCACCACGTGTAAGCAAAAGTAAAAAGAGATATTACATAGCAAGCAAAAGCTAGAGAGATCTAAACTGTCATTGCATTGCAGAAGGGTTAAAGCAGCCTGTGGTCTTAGGCAGTGGCACTTACAAAGGTTCGGAGGCAGCCAGGAAGCCGGTGAGTGTGATGTGTGTCTTGCTGTATATGTGTCTGTGTATGTGTGTGTGGCTATGTCCAAGGGTCCTCAGGCAGATATCACATCACCCTGACGCATAACTAGTGATTACCTTCCCATTTGGCCGCTGGCCAGATTAAACTGAAGGCAAGCAACGGGGAAGGCACGAGATGGTTTTGGCCTATAGTTTGGGCCTGGCTGGCCTCCGTATCACACCACCCTCAAGCTCGACAGACGTTGGGCGCTCTCTCACCACACCCACCACCCTCCCACCTCCACCACTCTCTCTCTCTCTCTCTCTCTCTGACACCCTCCCCCTACCTAAACACGCAGCGCTCATCTTCTCCTTCGCTAAATGTTACACACACTGGCACAGTGACAGACAATATACATACAGGTGTAGGCACACACACATTTAAACAAATTACACACAACAACACTAAATGAGGCTGCTTCCACTTTAATTTGACTATCAAAGTGAGAGTAGAGGTAGGCCTGTGAATGTCAGTCTGACTTTTTTTTTTTCATGGTCGTAATATGATTTATGGGTAGAAAAGGCACGGGAACACTTTTTTTTGGCGATATTAATTTGATATATTTTTATGATTAATGCAGATGCCAATGTTCAATCATTTGGTTACCAGTTCAAGCTGAAAGTGAAAACCAATTAAACTACTTAAATTTCTTCACTACTGTACATATGCATCCTGTCATGGGGCCTTTGTGGCAACTTTTTTTTAAGGATATGAGAGTCAAAACGGCTTAAAACCACCAGGCTAACAGTCACAAATTACTACTTCCTCCGTTGATAATTTTTGAGGAATGAGGAAATTATGAAATCAAACATATTAAAGGCTTCCTGAAGGATTTTTCCCCCCACAGGGCCCCATTATATCAGTAGTAAACTTGTGAAGATTGGATTTTTTTATCTGGAGCAGGACTATAAACAAAAATCAACATTGTACATTACTCTGAAGACTGATCTGTAAGAGAACTACTTCAGCACGTGATTGGCACACAGACCTGGTTCAGCACTTTAGGTTGAGCCATTACTGCCCAGCATCCCACAATATGAGGAAGAGGATGCACTGAATGCTGAAACAGCAAAAAGTCACTCAGGGGGAAAGCTGCCATTTGGATCTGAGAGCACCCAGACTGGCTGATATTATTGATTACACCAGGGTTGAGACTTTAGAGTGAGTGTAAAGTATATCATACGCTGGCGTAAGATTGTTGCAGAATACAGACATGTAACTGTACAGGAATTGGTTTTGGAACTTCATAAGTCCTCAAACTAGTGCAAGTGCATAATGACAGGCATTTATAACACAGCAGGCAACACTCAGCTTAATTCGGTCGTATTGTGCAGTCATGCAGTGTGTCTTTAATTTGCAATTTCACAATCCCTTTGACTCTCCTTCCGTCTTGTTACACTCTCGATTCAATACCATCGAAAAAGTGGTTTGAATGACAAAAAGGCAACATGTAACACTTAAGAGTCATTCAGTTACAAGTCATTATTCCTCTCCTGGTCACGGGCTTTGTGTCATGTTAATGTTAAGGAGTTACGATCCTTGAACACTAAAACATCATTGGTTGTTTTCTGACAAAGGGTGGGGCGATTTTGATTAAATATTGAGGAGGGAAAAAGAATAGGTTTACAAGCTGTGTAGGGCTGCACTAGATAGTAATTAAAATAAATTATTTATATTGAGGAGCAGCAGGGTGTTGGGATGTGATGACAGGTTAAAGGTGTCATGAATCTCCCCCAAGGGGCCCTTTTCAGCTTCACGGTTGTGTTTATTTTTGCGGCCAAAACTATCCAGTCTGTTTGAAACCGTTTTTTGGGTTCAATTCCGATTTGGCTGCGTAAGTGATTAAATATACAGCACCTGCAACCCTGTAACAGCAGATTTTAATATTAATGCACCAACCAAAATCCCAACTGTTACTGGTTGTTAGTCACTAAGCAACCATGCAGTGCAGCTGCTGCTGAAGACCTATACTCTTTGGCGGCAGGATAAGTAATTACATCCAGGCCTATTTATCATTCAAACTAAGGCTTACATGTAATCTACCACCGCGATCCATTAAAAAAAAAATCCCCCACTAAACATTTACACTGTTTTATTTCATAACACATTGCGTAAAAGCAATAACCATCCGCTATGTGCAGCACGCCTCTAATCTGGTCTGTAACACCACTGTGAACACATTTTGAAAGGATTATATCTTTTTAAAATCTCCTTGCGTATACATAAAGACGACTAGAGGTCAACGATCGTGTCTCTGGACCGATTCGATGCCCCTAAACCCCGCTCTGTGAACCGGGGTGGGGGTGGTGTCGGTGGGAGCGGCTGAGCATGCCGAGCTCTCTAGTTTGCCGGTAGGCCGCAGGATTTCAGCACCCCTCTCTCCTGGACAGCTCCGTCCAATCAGCTGCCGAGATTTCAAGCGCGTCACCCTTCCTCATCCTCATCACCCTCCCCTCCCTCCATCACTGAGACATGGCGGAGGACATCACAGGCAAAGAAAAAAGAAGCTGAGTTTCACACCCGGCTTCTTGACTAAGTAACGTGTTTTATTTGAAATAAAAGCACGATGGATGGATGGTTGTACAGCCTCGTTGTGGAGGAAACATGAGCCACACCGGGGAGGTCGTGAAACACAGGCTGTTCCCTAATAGGGTTTTTTTTTTTTTTTTAAATGACGTGTGTCCGGTTTCTACGCACAATGTCACACGACCTTAGCAGCTGGCCGGCCTCAAATGCACACGTTTGATCCCCGTTTGGCTTAAAGTGGGATCAGTCCTTTTCATTAAGTGTTGGATTCTCAACGTGAAACACACGACTTCGACACGAAAATACAGGAGACCAGTGATGTGCAGAATGACCCACATGCATTCAGCCGCATGGCAGCATGTCCAACCCCCACTGTGCCCGATTAAAGGTAAAGCCAACCTGGAAGCATCCCTCGATGGTGCTCTAATAAACTGCCGGAGCAGAAAGAAAACGCAAGCACTGTGGTTGCAGCTAGAGCCTGCTCAACTGAGATGCTACACGTTTGCATTGAGGTTGGGCTCATACACGTGTTGTCTGGAGGGGGGGGGAAATAAATTTAAAAAATAAAATGTCACCGGCGTCACTGGCTTGCAGGTGAAGCGCCAGCTGCAGCAGTAAAGCATGATTAAAGCCTCGACGGAAAAACGCCGTGTAAAAACGACAGACATGCCACAGCTCTCGATGAATGAAAAAGCCGGCAGTGAATGACACACAATGCGCCTCAGCCTCTTCGAGACAGGTGCATCGCCCCGTAGCCGCAGCCCTGAGACGCAAAAACCCCCCCAACAACATCAAAACGAATGAGATGCACGAACAGAGGTTTAAAACTCACCTAATATAATCCAGAGCGACCCAGAGACCAACACGAATGCGAGCATGTCTTTCTCATTGAGTCAGCGGTCCCGGTGCAGGAGCGGCTCAAAACTGCAGCATCGACTGCAGCAAGTCGCCGACAATCTGGGAGATTAAGGAGAGGAGGGGGGGGTGGGGGGGCGACAATATATCTGAGACAGACCTCAGTGGGGGATCTGGGCTGGGGGGACGGCGATGTCCAGCAGTTTTCACTGGAGAACGGAACGTGCTGAATGAAGAAACAGACCCCGACGGCCTATTGAAGCATCCTTCCTCCTTCACCTAGTTTGCTGCTGCGCAATGGCAGACACCCCTGCTGAAATGAAAAGGTTTATAGGTCGGACAGGAAGATGCGATCGACGCCAAGGTTACCGGGGATGACATTTCTATTCTGGATGCAAACGGATTACCCAAATCTTCATGTAATGCTCGTATTTATTGTAAAATGTGAAATTCGGTGAAGCTTGTTTCTTAAAAGCTATGCATTG